ATGTTGGCCTGTTATTTATATATTTCTCACTCGCAGCAGTTCTGCTGCTATGTCCTGGTGAATTACTCTCCATTCACAGCGACCCTGTGTACAACAAACAGAACAAGACATCCTGCACTGCCCACACAAGCCCGCCCTGTTGAAGCTCATCCTTGTAACCTTGTGTCAATCCACCTCCTGGAGGCTTTCCTCTTTTTCACTCATCCTCTATTTGACTTCTTCAGGCACCAGTTTCCCTTGATAACATATCTTGAGGACATGAGAAAAAAGTCTCAACAATCTCCCTTCTCAGGAGCAAGACAGTTAGTCATTCTTCTGATAGTCAATGGTAAATTCCATGCACTTCACCAGCAGCATGATTCACATGCAGCCAACCTTCTTGGGTCTTCTTTATCCATTTTCCAGCTACCACATGCGTATAACGCGATTGAAAATACCTTGACTTTGGTTAAGCGCACGTTAATCCTTGAAGTGACGTCTTTGTCTTTGACACTTAAACAAGATATTCAGTAGCCGATTTGGTCATTGCAATAGTTTGCTTGATTTCTCCCCTGCGGCTAGGAGCGCTGATTGTGGCCACAAGGAAAATGAACCCCCTGGCAACTTCAGGACATTCTCATGGTGACCTGACAAAGCTTACTGGTCACGCTTTGAGGACTTGGTTTTCGTTATGCTGAGTTGTAATCCACACTGCAAGGCTGCAGTCTTCGATCTTCATCAGCAAGTGCTTCTGGTCCCCTTCCCTTCCTGCAGGCGACATTGTGCCGTGTGCACAGCCAAGTCTGTGACTGCGTCGTCCTTCAATCCCGAGGCCCTGTTCTTCTTCAGAGAGTCCAGTTTCTCAGAGCATTTCTGCAGCATAAAGACAGAGCAGGGCCGGTGGAACAGTACAGCCACGGTGCACGCATTTCCCGATCTTAAGCCCTCGTTCTGTTCAAAGGACGGCCTCTTGGTATACGTAGAGCTTTTGCAGTAGCATAATTAAATGGAATTCCCACGCTTTCCAACATTCTCCATCATCTCTTAAGATTCACATAGTTAAGTTCCATTACACAGTCAATAAAACACGGGTGATCATCTTTCTGATATTCTGTTCTTTAAACCAAGATACATTTGACATCAGCAATGATATCCCTTGCTCCACATCCTCTTCTGATTCTGGATTGAATTCCTGGCAGCTCCCTGCCCATACTTGTTTATGATTTTGCTGATGTTGTTCACCGACTTCTGCGTTCTTTTAGATCCCCTTTCTTCGAGTCAGTCGAGTAGCCCTCTTTCTGACATAGAGGAGTGAAGGCTTCCAGTATTGCATCTCATTGGTCAAAGCATCCAAATCGATGCTCCAGCAATCCTTGGATCGCTGTTTTGTGCCAATTCAGTCAGTGTACCTTGGACTTCTTTGTTTCATACCATTGGTTCGTGATCATATATCTCTTGACATGGCTAAATTATTTTTCCTACAGTGACTGTATATTTTATTGTTAATAAGTGTACACAGCAAATTAGGTTCCTACTTAATAATTTCTGCATACATTGCTCAATTGTATCAGTTACATTTTTCATCCTGTGGCATCATAGGGATATACTATTTCCAATACTCCAGTTTGTATGCCCCCTTTCTTTCACATCTTTGCTTTATAGTAATTTTTGTCCATCTGATCTCATCGTGATAATTTTTAAAGAAACTCATTAGTCTCAGGTTATATCCTTTATTAGCCAGTTTACATTTTAGGTAAAAGATTACCTCAAATAATTTTTCTTCAGCTTTACAGAGTATCTCAAGATCTCTGTGTTCTTTTTCTTTTCTATCTGGATTTTAGTTATTTTGCTGTGTATATATACCAATGCAACATGAGTAGTTTAGTGATATTAATTACATACTTAGAGTCGTGCGTCTCTCACCTGTTATTAGAGATTCCTTCTTATTAGCATGAATTCACTGCTGTTGTCCATTTGATCCCGTTTACAAATAAAAGCAAACTCACTGCCAGAGTCAATTCTGGCTCACAGCAACCCTGTAGGACAGACTAGAACTTCTCCTTTGAGTTTCTGAGCCTGTGACTCTTTATGGGATCAGGAAGACTCTTCTTTATCCTGAGGAGCAGCTGGTGGGTTCAAACTGCTGACCTGGCAGTAAGTAGCCCAAAGCATAACCTACTGTAGGGACTCCTTTGATCCCACATAGATAGGTCATAAAAGAGCATAATACTCAAAATAGACCTTTTTTATTAGTTCAACTAAACTCATGTTTGGATTTAACATGACTTACACCAACCCTTCACTGCCCTTGAGTCAGTTAGAATTCACAATGACTAGGACAGACTGCAAGTGTTCCTTAGGGCTTCCTAGACTATAGAGTTTATTAATAGCAAACAACCTCATCTGCTGCAGATGCTGGATTTGAACCATTGACCGTATGGTTAGCAGCCCAAAGCTTAACCCACTGCACCACTAGAGTGTCTTCTAACATAACAGAGAGGTGGTTCTAGTTAAGTCTGCCTCAGAGCAGTAATTCGGGGGGTTCATCTACCATTCATGACTCCAGAAAGTCTACAGTCTATGAGAATTTGAAATGCCATTCTGCATGTTCCCCTTTTATCATGGTCATTTCAATGATTCTTGCATTTTTCTTTTGTGGGGGGCCCAAATCATCCAGTATTATACTTCGAGGCTTGAATTATTTCTCTAGATTTTGGACCTTGAGAAATGTCAAGCACATTTTCCCCTTTTGCTTTTCTCATTGCAGATTTTCCCATTTCATTATAATACTTTACTTTGTCTTCTTAAGCCACCTTTTGAAACCTTCTGTCCAGCAATTTTACTCCATCGTTTCGTCCATTCATTGTAGCTCCTTGCATGTTGAAGAGCAAGTTTCCGAGTCTCTCCTGGCATTCCCTTTTTGTTCTTTCCTTCCTTGCCTTTTAGTGACTTTTTGCTTTCTTCACGTATGATGTCATCCTACAGTTCATCTGATCTTTGGTCATTAGTGGTCAATTACTCAAATCTACTCTTGAGATGACCTCTAAATTCAGGTGGGATCTATCCAAGGTCAGACTTGTTGAATATTCATAAGCTTCATCTGGAACTTGCATGTGATCAGTTGATGGTTTATTCCACTGCTGGTCACTGGCCTTGTTCTAACACATCTGTGCTTCTTTCCACAGATGTGGTTCATTTGATTCTGGTGTGTCCTGTAGGATGTAGTGATCACGTGCATGATAGGATTTCACAAAGATCCCAGAAATACTCCCTTAGCATTTAATTCTTGTTTTCCAGCCTTTTTTAAGACCTTCTTGAAGAGTTGTCACTGTAGTTGTTGAAAAAGATGTCTGCAATGATTACGCCATTTGTCTATCTAGTGTGGAATCTTCAAAGTTGTCTCCATCAACAAGACCATACTTTCTAATCTTTCTTCTTTTTTCCCAACTCATATTCCAATCACCAGCAGTTATGAGTGCAATTTGCTTGCATGTTTAATCAGCACTGCAAATGTAGGTAGAAATCTTCAATTTCTTCATCACTGGCTTTAGTGGTTAGTGCGTACATTTGACTTGGTTGTCATATTCACCGGTCTTCCTTGTCGGTATTTGGATATTACCCTATCACCGAGAATGTTGTCTTTCAAGATGTGTCTTCAGATGTTTTTGACAATAAGTGTGACACATTCTTCTTTAATTTGTCATTCCCAGCAAAATAGTGTGTAAACCTCATGAAAATGGTCAATACCAATTCATTCCACCAAACAAATACCTAGGATATTAACCTTGAAATGTTCCTTCTAATCTTGATAAATTCCAGTTGTCTTCAATTCCTACTTCCAACATCACACATTTTGGTTATTAATGGATGTTCACAAATGTTTCTTCTCATTTTGAATCATGCTGCCTTGGCCAATAAAGGCTCCAAACACTGTCTATCTTTCACATCATTAAAGCCATCAATTCTGCGTGGAGGAGGCGTCTCTTCCCCCGGCCTGTCTGGAACGTCTTCCTGCCTGAAGGACTCATCTTCCAACACTATATCAGACAATATTCTGTTGTTATTCATAACTGGCCAACTTCTTTGGAAGTACATAACCAAGTCCTGCCTCACCTGTCTTAGTCTAGAACAGTGGTTCTCAACTTTCCTAATGCCGTGACCCTTTAATACAGTTCCCCATTGCCTTGACCCTTTAATACAGTTCCTCATGTTGTGGTAACCCCCCCAACCATAAAATTATTTTCGTTGCTACTTCATCACTGTAATTTTGTTACTGTTATGAATCGGGCGACCCCTGTGAAAGGATTGTTCGACCCCCAAAGGTTGAGAACTGCTGGTCTAGAAGCTCTGTCTAAACCTGTCCACCATGGGTGACACCGCTATTATTTAAAATGCTAGTGACATATCTTTAAGGATCACAATACTCAAGCCACCACTGGATGACAAATTAAATATAACAGATGTGCCCCCATAGCATTTCCAAATCTGTAATCCTTAGGGTAGCAGACTGCCACATCTTTCTCCTCCATGATGGCTGTCGTTAGCTTAAAACCACCAACCTTCCTTTTGGCCGAGAACCACTTAACCACTTTGAGACCAGGGCTCCGTGTTAGACACACAGTAGGTCCTTGTGTTCTTTGTGATTTATCATCTCAGAGGAAACCAAACAATCTTGGGAAGTATTTTGCAGTTATGCTACTTCCTGAACGATATGTCCTGTCTCACCACCATTAAGAATATAATGAAGCTTTACACTGCTGCCTCAGTGATAAAGACACTCCAGGGCCTGGGTGTCTGACTCACTGGGAGGGAGGACAGCCTCTGGCAACGATCTGTTTGTGGTACTTATCTACTGCAGACACCACCACAAGGATGCATGTGCCCTTGCCATGTAGGGAACTGTAGGAACTGAAATTACGGCGATAATACAAAGGCTGACTGTATCGATGTTTTAAAACTGTCATTTTAATTACAGGACAGACACATCATTTTTTTTAAGCCCTTGATTACGCTGTGGTTTAATTTCCTAGTCAAGATAATGACTATGTTGAATTGTAAGCAATTCCCCTTCTTAAGTCACAATAAAATGTTTCTTTTTGTCTTTTTCTAAATTGCCTGTACAAGTTGATTAACAGCATTTGAAATGCAAAGGAGAAGTGGGGCACAATCACAGCATGTACCAATCATAAATAACTAATGAAAGCATTGTTATATATAGATGTATTATATAAATGATTAATATAGATGCAAATCCCTTTTCCTATGTATAGCATGCATTCAGTATCCGTAAATGCAACCTGTACATTCTCTTTAGGAAATATCAAAACAAAGTAACTTGATACATTTTGAGGTAAGAAAATAGCACTAGAGTAGGGATCGGGAGTCCCGGATTCCATGACGAATCCTGCCACTCACTGGCCTTCAATTGGTCACTTCAGTCACTAAGTCTGAGTTCTTGCCCCCTTCTCGGTAAAGTGAGGGGATGAGAGTAGGGGCTTCAAAGGCCTTTCTATCTCTACGAGTTAATGATTACTTGTTTCTCATTAAAATCTCACCAAAATTGTACATGTGTAGAATAACCACCAATATCAGCTTGCCAGGATGGTAGCAAGCCTTTTATACTGATGATTAGGTAACATTTGGAGTTCAGTAAAGCTGTGCAGATTAAGTGGATTTTTTCTGAAACTCTTAACTGAAACCCTACCTATCAATTGTCCTTCTTGTGCCCTTTTAAGTAAAATTGTCCATAGTTCAGATGCCAGATTCACCAAACTTCTACAGGAAACCTATAGGGCTAACCAATAGTTCATATTGTAAGTCTGATTCTATATTTACTTTTGTTAATATTACTATTTTTATAGCTCAGATATATATTCATTAGAGAGAATTTGGGGAAGCACAAAACATGAACATAATCCTGTCTCTTGTCCTCCAGAAATAGCTTTTATTTTTCAATATTTTGATGCACATCGCATCACCTGTCACCCAAGGAGAAGCTGGTGGGATTGAACTGCCAACCTTGCCATCAGCAGACCAACACTCACTCAGCAGAAATAGATAGACAGACAGATAGATAGATGATAGAGATGCATATGTGTTTACTTAAAACATAATGATGAAATATTCATGTGAAAACAATCCCCTTGCCTTTAACACCTCACTGAGTACCTGGGTGGTGCAAATGCTCCACATGTCCAGCTGCTAAGCAACAGGTTGGAAGTTCAGTTCTACCTAAAGCAGCTCCGAAGCAGCCTGGCGACCTGCTCCTGAGAAATCAGCCATTGAAAACCCGATGGAGCGTGTTCACATCTGACACAGATGGCTTAGCCAAACGTTTACATGGCAACTGGTATATGTTCCACTTTCATAATCGTCTCCCACTGGATGTGTTTCTAGACAGGAGATGTTGGGTAAAAGAGATACGTAAGTAAGGATTGTGTTACCAGAATGACCAAAAGCTCTCTTATCTAGTCTAATGGTGCTATTTTTTCACTGCCAGCAAATAACTTATTCAGTTGTTTAATTGCAATAATTTCATGTTCTCACTTCACTGAAGTACTGAAAGATTTCAGAGTACCCCCTAAAGCAGTGGTTCTTAACCTGGGGATCGCGACCCCTTCCAGGGGTCAAACGACCCTTTCACAGGGGTCGCCTAAGACCATATTTCTGATGGTCTTAGGAACCGAGATACCGCCCCTCTATCCATCTCCAAGTGGCTCCACCCACATGCAGATTCCCCCACATGCAGGCTCAGGGTCACCACAACGTGAGGAACTGTATTAAAGGGTCACGGCATTAGGAAGGTTGAGAACCGCTGCCCTAGAGGGATCTCTCCAGAGGTAAGCAGTGTATACAGTAAGGAGGAAAGGGGATTGGTTTTTAAATCAGACACACTGAGGGCTTTGTGAAACACTATAAGCAGACTTTATACACAAAATAGTTACCCATTTCAATTGTCAACTAATTGTCAATACATACGAATAGCCACTCCAGGATTTTATCTTGTGAACCAAGTTCACTGGTTACATAACAAGATGGACTAAAATATTTAATAATTGGTATCCGTTTTTATGGTGTCAGGGAGTTTACAGAAAAGAAAAGATAACAAATCCTCTGTGATTTAAAGTGGTAAGTTATTTTATCGTGTTTTTCTGATTCAGAAACACTTGCAGCCTCGGCCTAAGGATGTAAACATTTATTATTTGGGATAAGCTGTCAAAGCTAAATTTGGGGGCTTATCCAGGTAAGGTAAATCTCTTTAAAAAGACACTGGCCAAGAAAAAGAGTACACTCATTTATTTTCAGAGGAGATAAATTAATAGTACACAATTTTATTTCTCTCTGTTGAGACATTTCTACTATATCATAAAAATTTGGGTGAAACTGGCTTTGAAATGTACATTTTTAATGATCATCTTGGAAGTGGCTTTTTATATGGGTGCTGTGTGTGGCCTGTGTATCTGTGCATATGTTGAATACACTTATTTTATTTGCCTCCTTTGGTAAGTGGTGACTGGTCCACCCGGATAGAGTGGTCAGTGTGTAATAAACCATGTGCCTAAGAGAATCTAAATTGTACAAGCACCAGTGCAGAACCAGACCACGCAATGGTTTCACCTACTGTGTACTGCTTGCCTCCTTTCAGTAAATGGCGGCTGGTCCACCTGGACAGAGTGGTCCGTGTGCAACAGCCGCTGTGGACGCGGGTATCAGAAACGTACACGGACCTGTACAAACCCAGCTCCCCTCAATGGAGGTGCTTTCTGTGAAGGACAGAGTGTACAGAAAATAGCCTGCACCACATTGTGTCCCGGTAAGTACCACAGTCCCCTCCTTTCCAATGTATCCCACCTTTCTAGAAATGCTTGTAAGAAAATACATAGAAAAGCCTTGTACCTGACCTGAATATGTGATCAGCACAATCTATATCCATCTTACTGTTCAGTGCTCTCCTTGCTGGAAAATCAAGTATGCTCCCCCTCCGACACTACTTCACTCTGCCACTCCAATATGCCAACTCGTGTAAAGCAAGGGTCAAACACTTGTGAACCATGTTTCTCCATGTCATTGCACAAAACCACTAGAATCACATTTATGCATTTCTATAGTTCTAGGGATTTGGGTAGAATTGAAGACATTTTAAGGGAAATATGAAACAAACCCTTGATCTTCAGAAGACCAAAGAAATCAATTGACACTGAAAATGTTTTAGACTAAATATTTGATAAATGGTGTCAGCTTTTGGACAAGGACAGATAAAATAGTTGGAATGACTTAAAAGTAAGGGAAAACTTTTTGATACATAGGCCACTGGATTTTGAAAATACAGTGCAGTCAGCTCTTTATTACCTGCACACGTTGGTTAATTACTTTGCAGGTTACTTGTTGGGGGATATATACCAACGTCACCTCGCTCCTCCTCCTCCTGGTATCTTTCTGTGCTATCTTGTATTGCACCACTTCTTACTCTTAGATAAACTGAAGTTCTTCTCAATATTCTCCAAAGCAAAAGACCCCAGCAATGTCTAATTGTATAATATAGTCTAAAAGTGAGCACACATTATTTTTAAATAAGTAATGCATTTGGTTCACACCATTGTGACAGGTGTAACCTTTTCAATTTTATTAGATACAATGCTTTCTTATTCTCTCTCTCTCTTTCTCTCGCTCTTGCTCTGTCTCTTTTTCTCCTAACTTTGGCTCTCTTCATCCTCGAATAGAAACTTTCTCAGATATAGGTTGGAAAAATAAACAGGAGAGAAAAAATATTCTACATTTTATACAATCAAATGTTGATTTCCAAGTATCAAAAATAGTCTCACTCCCACACTGAATTCTCTGAGAGCTTTTATTTATAGAATACATTCTGACACTTAGCTAGGCTTAAGGTTTCAGTATTTTATCTTGTACTTTCCTATATGTTATCTAGGGGTTGATTTCCACAATTAAAACAACACTAAGCATTTTGAGTTGAAATAGAAGTGTGCATGTGTGTGTGTACTTTGAATTTGGATTATGTTAAAGAAAATGTCTTTGCATCAAAATGTTGCTTATATAGCCAACTTATAGAATTGAAATATTAATGCTTTCATCATTTTTTTTCATGTGGGCATGTTTATATCTTTATACTTCATGCATATATATTTACATGATAATTTGACTATAACACCATATAGATTTAGATTTCCCAAACTGTGTAGACTATTAACAGATCATATATATATATATATTTCACACTTTTATCCAAACTGGCATTTAGATGGTGTGCTTTTAACACAGAGCTATCTGAGCTCTGAAGTTGTCGGTGAAGTTGCGGGGGGGCCAGTAACAAATTTAGAACTAAACAGATTGAGTCAGAGGAAAATAATTGAATGAGAAATATAATGTTCATTTCATTAGAAAAATTTAGGAACCTACCCCTTAATATTATCTCTAAAATAAAAACAAATATTCAGTTTATGTTCTGCTAAGAATCTTCCATTAATGAATAAAAATAATCAATCTTTGCAAGATGGGGTTGCAGAAGGATTCCACAAACCTTCCAGGTAAATAAAATAATAAAAAGAGTATACAGTATAAGACACAGGTGATGGATAGACAGACAGATGGGTGGACACAAATAGACAGAGGTCTTCACCACTGTCTCAGTCCTTTCTCACAACTTCTTCCAGGTTGACTTTCCTTTCCTGCGGACCGTGCCTGAGGGAGTCTCGGATCAATCCGAATCCACCCAGATTGCAGGACAAAAGCTCAGTAGCCTCCCTTTGAGTAGAAAAAGGGGACTCGTCATGATTTAATTTTACCAGCTTAGCTTCGGGGAGCCCCTCTGGTTTCTCTGAGCCCCATCATGCTCCCCTTGACGTAATCAAGGAGGAAAAGGTCCTGCAACTGGTCAGCGCAGCTCCTAGGGCCCAAAGGAGGCAGAGCACTCGGACCTGCCGCCACAGGGGCGGTTTCTTCTGGGTTTGGTTTGGTTTACCTTTGAGATCTTCCTGCTTCTCCTTCGAAGCCACCATTTCTCCCTCTGACTGCTGCTGGTTTGTTTCTTCTGTATGCAGTGGATGGCAGGTGGACCTCCTGGAGCAAGTGGTCTACCTGTGGGACTGAGTGCACCCACTGGCGCAGGAGGGAGTGCACGGCACCGGCCCCCAAGAACGGAGGCAAGGACTGTGATGGCCTCGTCCTGCAATCCAAGAACTGCACTGATGGCCTGTGCATGCAGAGTAAGTTGCTGTTAGCCAACAATCAAAGCTAGGGAAGCCATAGCTGTACCTGTTGGGTTTCTTTGAAGGAGTCTTTAAACACCAACAGCCAAGAAAGGGGTAGAAGCATCCCAGCCTTCTCTCTCCATTCCGGGGAAAGCGCATCCTTCAGGACGCAGAATTGATAACCGCCTCGTTAAGACAATGTCCAATAGTACGGCTTTCCTGTGAGCAAGGAGGGCCTTAGTCCTGTCCACGGAGGGGAGGTCTTCTTTCCGGACCAAGGAGTAATTGCGCGGTTTTCGCAGAGCACCCAAAGGACCCCTCTAAACTCCTCATACTCACCCACGACTTCCAAAGAGTAAGCTGTCTATTTTCAATGTGTGACTGCTACCTAACCAATGTCCCTGAAAGGTAAAAAGCCCTATTCAAGAGAGTAAACATTTCTGTGGGAAGATTTACCAATTTTCAATGAATATGTACAATGATTGAATAGATATTATTTGGCTTATTTCAAGGAGATACTGTAAGAAAGCATCATTTTTAATGGTACAAAGATTGCTTCAAAATGTAATTTGTGCAACAAGCTGAAGTCTCTCCATTTTCAAGGCTTTGCTTCTAGTTTTATAAGTGCGATGGTAGTTTGTTTTCCATGCTTACTAGCTTTTAGCCCTTGATTGAGATAGATTTACCCAATTAGAGGTAGAGTATTTATGATTGCTATTAGTGACCACGAATTAAGTTACTAAGAATTGTTTTGAGATCACAGCTTCCCAGAGACTAGATCAAGCAATGTTCTCTTCGGATGGGAACCAGTAGTGTCCATGGTGGACATTTTTCATTATACATTACAAATGACTTGCAGAAGGGAAACTATGAAAGATATTTCCATAGCTGTACTAGTATGTGACATGGAAGAAGAAAATATTTTCACCACACGTACAGAACTCTGTTTATGATTCTCTGTCTTTATCCACAAGGACCTTTATAAAGAAGCCTCACTTAAAATGCAAATAGATAGCTATGTTGTTAACGTGGAATTAAAGTCTTATTATATGCCCATGGTATGATACCCTCTTTGACAATAGGCTGCTGGTGGGTACAAAGCACACCTTCTGTAATGATTTAAGGATTGCTACTGTGCCGCTCATGAAGTGTCTCAAAGGAATGCAAGAATAAAAATAATACGGTTGTTTTACTAAGGATCCATCTAGGGATGAAGGTTTATTCCTGGAAGCACGGATTCGAGTTTTGGGCTACATTAACAACGTTCTTCTTCTCAACATTTGTAGCATTTTTTATTCCTTTTTTTTCCTGTTGAACAAACTGACCCATCCTATTGAAAAGTCACAGTATTTGTTTCTTCCTTTCTCCCTTTTCACAAAATCTTTTGATGTTGGCCGATTTAATACTTAACGCCTCTCCCTCTGTTGTCCAGTGCATTGTGCCCACCACATAATCTTCTGAACAATAAATGCAAGGCTGCACGGTAGAACAAAGGGACATTTAGCAAGCGGAAGCATGAGAACCCAGGGCAGATGTGCATGGTGTGGCATCAGGAAGATTCTTGCCTCATCCATAGAGTCTGGTCCTTTGGACTGGATAATGATGGCACTAATGATGGCCTGAGGTGGGGGTGAAGATTTCAGTGGGATGAGGGCACAGAAAAAGTCGGTTGCTCGTTGGTATTTGTTTATTTTTACCAAGTTTCTGTGTAGGCTGAACCTTTTGGTGTTTTCTTTAAAATTATTTGGCTAAAACCGACTTTGATTTTACTATAGTCCTAGTCCCTACTCAGTCAATAAATGTTTTCATCTGCCTTCCCCTAGGTCCAACAGAGAATTATAGTCTATACTCTTATTGATTTTCTCAGTGATACAAAATGTGGAGACAAAAAAAGTAGAGATATTACTGTGATTTGTAAATAGTTTACAGTCAGAGTGACAGTTTCTATTCACCAGTGAGTTTGATATATTTGATAGACTGTTGCTAACAAATTCTTGCAAACAAATAATCATTCCCTTAGTCCTCATTTTGGAAAACATAAGGCTGTGTTATCTTGCAACCACTAAGTTTACAAGAGGGACAATTGCATGAGAAAGAAGAGAAGCAGAGAAGGCAACCAGCAACTGGCGATAGAAAATTATAAAATATTGCTAAATATGTATTTTCTTTGGCAGGGTTATTATCTTGGGTGCATTAACAAGTATTCCTACAATGTAAAGGCAATACTATCTCAAAAGGATGGTAGCCTAGCTCTTATGAGTTGATGCTGACTCACAACTTTAGGTTGCTAACTTCAAGGTCACAGTAAGAAACCCCCAGCCACTCTTGAGAGAAATACGGGACTTTTTATTTGCATAGAGAGTTACAGGCTGGGAAGCGCACGGGATCAGTCAGGTCTACCTTGCCTATGGTTGCTATGAGTCAGCATTGTATGGCTGTGAGAGAGAGAGAGAGAGAGAGTTTGCTTAAAGGCGTGCCGGTGGTGCAGTGGTTGGGCTGCTAAACACAAGGTTGGCTGTTCAAACCCAACACTCTCTGTGTGGGAGAAAGATGAGGCTGTCTGCCCCCTGAAGCTTTGCAGTTTGGAAACCCTAAGGAGCAGGTCTGCTCTGTCCTAGCAGATGACTGGGAGTGAGCAGCAGCTCGGTGGCTGTAGGTCAGTGCTAATTAGCAGTCTCATTAGGGTCCCTTCAAGAAGATGAAAAGTTCCGTCAGAACCTCGGCTTCTGAGAAAACCTGCTGAGCCCCTTAAACCCAAGGCAGGAAAGTAAACTCAGAAGGTTCTGGGGATTGTTTTATGGGATCCCAAGGGGTAATCTGGATAGATTCTCTCAAAGGATCATGAATGGTCACAGGAGCTTATAGTGAAGTCATTTAAAGGAAATCGGTAATGCTGAAGAGAAAAGTGAGTAAACTGGAATGTAGATTAAAATTTTCTTGTAATATACCTGATGGTAAAATAGTTACGCCTTGGGCTGCTAGTTTCAAGGTCAGCAGTTCAAAACTACCAGCCTCTCTTCGGGTGACAGATGAGGCGTTCTACTTCTGTAAGGAGTAAGTCAGGAAGTCCAGAGGCAGTCTGACTCGGGAGCGTCACTGTATTTGGGGAGCAATTCAGTGGCAGTGAGTTTAGTTTATTGATTTTGTTTTCTATTGCCTTGAGCTGCTCCAGTGTGGGGGTTTCCATTTGAGCTGCTAACTGCAAGGTCAGCAGTTCGAAACTACTAGGCCATTGCTCCTTGGGAGAATGATGAGGCTTTCTACTCCAGGAAAAAGTTACGGTCTCAGAAGCGCCCAGGGAGTGTTCTGTATATTCCAGCGTTATCTCGTAGAATAGCTGCGAGTTGGAATACACTAGTCACTAGATGGCAGTGAACTTGGTTTGTTTCTGAGAGCTGCTCCAAGGGGGAAAGTGAAATCCTATGGCATCATTCTACTCTGTTCTACAGGCTGACTATGTTTTAGAATGGGCTGGGTGGCACTCTATGTTTATGTGAGATCATTGTTGCTCATAGTTCTGGTTCAGAGTTTTGCCCGGGACTTTGTATTGTTGTTAGTATGTGCACCAATCAATTCTGACTCGGAGCAACCCTTCAGAGGACAATTCCACACCACAGCCTTTCCAAGGCTTCCATCTCTACCAGTGAGGAATCCTACCGCGCTCAGATGCGCTGACAGCTCGGACCCACTGCATATCCGTAGAAGGCTTAACCAATCTCCATTGAATTGCGATCCAATGATTTTCTCAGTGGTTCATCAGGCCAGTGGATGTTTGTATGAGGGATCTTAGAAATCCAGAACTTTCTTACATGCCGATTCAATCTATAATAAAAAATATGATTAAAAAGTTTTCTTAGGGTTAAATATACAACTACAGAATCTTTTTAAAATATGACAATGCTAAGTATTAACAAATGTGCAGTATAGTGGTAAACAGGTGTTGCAGATAAAAATATGAGGGGTGACAGTTATTTGGAGGAAATAATTGGACTGGATAAGTCAAGAATCTTAAAGTTAATCATACCCTTTGACCAAGTAATCCTACTTCAGTGAGTACATTTTAAATAATAAATAAAAATACATTAAAAGTTTGTTCCAAATGTGTTCATAGATTGGGAGGGGGTGGAATTAATAAAAACTGCACAATTTGAAAATACAATCTTAGGCTAATGGCAAAATAAGACCTAGTGGTTCCATAACATAGAATATCCTACAGCCACTAAAATCTTTGCAGTGCTTTAAGAGGGAAAAGAGGAATGTGGACTTCTTTGCATTGGGTCAGAATCAGGAGCCCTAGTGGTGGAGTGGATTACCCACTGAGCTGCAAACCAGAAGGTTAGAAGTTTGAACTCACCAGCGGCTCCCCTGGAAAAAGATGAGGTGAATTTGTTTCTGTAAAGGGGAAGTTCTACTCTGTCCAATTGGGTCACTGTCAGTCAGAATCAACTTACTGGTAGAGCATGTAAAAGTAAACTTAGGACCAAGATGAAGGAGATGTCTGCATACTTGGCTAATGAGATTACAAGTAATATTTTGTTATTTTTGTACATATTTTTACTCTCCATGTTCTTTTAAACTATATCTTATTAATTGAAGTTAATACATATATCATCTCATTCCACCATTCAGTCACACCAAGCAGTATTGTACAATTATTACCACAATTAGTTTCCTAACACTCTTTCCTTCCTAGACTCTTTCACATCGTCTCTCTTTTACTGCCTGCCCCACCCCACCGCCACTTCTCTCCTCTTCTACATCTTTCAACGTTTCTTTCGTAAGGATAATGCAATAATGTCTGATTTCCAAAGCTACTGGAGAGTCTGACTCTCCATAATCTCCCTCCTACTAACTATTGCTCACTGTCTTCCTTGGCCTCCCCGGCAGGACAACCGCCTGGTCCTCTGGGCTTGCAGCCCTTTAGGACAGAGAGATGCGACGGTCGGCTCCCACAAACACCACCCACTGGGAAGCCTGTGGAGCAGTTCCACTCCGTTTTCTTGGGTTCTCGGAGC